GTCAATTGCCAGTACGTTGAGTCGTCGGTTTGGTCTAACCAGGATCACCCCGTCTGGAGCAGTCATGTCCAGTTTTTCTTGAATTTTCTTCGGGTTAATGGTTGCGATCACTTTGTCTGGATCCTTGGGTCTGACTATCACCGTGAGGTGGGGATCAGTATGATTCATAGTCTTGACGGTCTTGTCGCTTGACTCCGAACTAGTTGAGGCTTTGCGTCTCTTTCGGCTCTGAACGAGCTGAAAGGGTGCCGAGTTGGCGTCCAGCTCGTCAGAGATGCTCTCATAGTAAGAGACGGTGCTTGAAGCGCTTGACATACCCAATGATGGCCGCTCAGCCTGTCCATCCAGTTCCATTTCGATCGACGGTGAGCCCTGGCCGGCGGGATGACCCGCCTCAGCCATGGTTGGTGACCGTTGCGTCAATAGCGAGGATCGTATCGTTTTTACCTTGAACTAGCAGCGAAAATCTTGAATAAAGATACAATATAGCAAGACAACCTCGATAGCAGCCAAGGTAAATCCGACTTCTTCTTCTTCTCTTCCATCGGGTAGGGTTTGCATGAGCGAAGCGGCGTCGAGGCAGGCGAGTCCCCGAGGAGCAGACGACGGACCGCGATCAGCTTGTCGCGGTCCGTCGACAAGCTGATCGCGTGTCGTCTCATCCCCACCGGGCCGCCGGGGCTTTCCCAGTCCGAACGCAGGGTGAAGCCTACAGACACCGCCGTGTCCGTAGGCTTGCCAGCTTCTGCCAGCTGGACGGAGGACCGGCCCGCCATACAGTCAACTGAAGGGCCCTGGGGCCTCATCACCCGCAACATCGGCCCGCACCATTTCCCGCGGGCTCCATTTCAGCATTGCTGGCGCCTGACTATCATAAGACACGGTACTTTGTAGACTCTAACCAATCTCTTCAATGTGCACGACGCTTCGAAGCCGGCTCGGCTCCTTGATCACGGGTGACTGTATGTGGGCCCAAAGGTAGCAATCTGTCGTTGTTTTCTTCTAACATCCTCTCTATCACCTATACGTCGTCGTCTTAGCTTTGTACATATCATCGATCATAATCATCATCCCTAAACGTGGCACCGCGGGCCACCATGGTACGGGCTGTCGCCTTTCCGCGGTACCACGGCTCTCCTGAGCTAATAAAGATTACTATTAATATTATTACTTTTTCATGGTCCCTTTAATCCAGGTGTCGTCCAAATATTGATATCTTTTCTGCATTTCCTCACCTTCTTTTTTTATCTCCCCCATCCCTTTCTCAGCGCAGAGTAGCCAATCAAAGAAGGTCGCCTTGGTTTGCCTCAACATTACTTTGGTTTGCCTTCCTGTTTTCTCGATAACTCTAGGGTATACTCATCTGCTCTAGTTTTCTGTTTCAACTTGCATTTTCTTACAAGTACCGATACTCAATGATGCTAAAACGCGTGACATACGAGTGTTTTGATAGCCGAGAGGAGTGTTCCGGCACCACATTCTTCCTGTGGAAATTCAAAAGATGTCAAAAGCTTTAATCGGCGCTTATGGAGAAGCGCCAATTAAAGCTGTAAGGTCTTTTGACGTGTAACGTCTTTTAACCTTACACGCCCAGAAAGTGCTAACGGGGTGTAGGATGTGCGTGCTCCGTGCATCGGCCCCCTTGACGCTTGTGTGCATCACCCTATAGGCCTATAGAAAAAATAATATGATAGAGAGAACATTAGTACTTTCCGATTTCCCTTCGTTTATTATCTCCTTCCCTCTAGTGCTAGTACACTCACGGCGCTGCATGTTAATATAAGAAGTACTGGGAAATATTGGGATGAATTTTAAATAATTGTGCAATTACTAGATAACTCTGTCGACGCTCTTGTATTAACAGAAATAAACTTTCGGGACGTGGGCGTTTCGCAGGAACAGTTCTCTTTGCCCGGGTTAGAAACTTTCTTTTTGACACGTGATACAGAGAGAGGAGTAGGTATTGCCGTATATGTGAAGAAAATTTGGTGTGTAGTAAATTTAGATGTATCTTTAAAATATGCACGGTGTCTATCGTTAAAATTCTCCAATAACGATTTTTCAATGTCCCTGATGACGTTTTATAGGCCCCCCTTAGCAAGGGTATCTGATTTTCTAGTTGAGTTACACTCAATCTTGGAAAACGTTCCTACAGATAAAATTTGCATAGTAGGTGACTTAAACATTTATCCTCTTGCGCGTTCAAAATCTATTGCTTGCGATTACTTAAATATTTTTGCGAATTGTGATATAGAAAGCGTAATTACTGCTCCTACTATAGAAGAATACCTGTCCGGTAACCTAGTTAGATCTTGTATCGACCATATTAACATCAGAAACTCGGGGGTACCTGTAATTCCTAAGGATATTCAGCAAATACTAGCGGACCAGTACTTTGTGGCATGTCGAATGAACTTTGGCATCATTTCGGCGGATTTATTATTTATTATTATGGCGAAAGCCCTACTTGGCCTATTGCGCGAAAAGGCGGCGTCGTTGTGCCCGAGAGATGGTAATAAATACACGTCATCAAGCACGCTCTGCTCAATCATATGTTCAAGGACGACGCCGTCCTTGTCGTCGTCCTTTAGGTTGTCCTAGAGGTGGTGCAGGTAGAGAGAAACTGTTTATTTTCTTTTAGAGCGCAGCTCTTAGGGGCCCGTTTCCGGCTTGAGCGGCGTCGCGGTCGGCGTCGGCGTCGCCGTCGCCGTCAGCGTAACCGCGCGGTGCATTATGGGAAATGTCCCATAATGCACCGCACGAGCCCCTTACCGGGGTCACGTGACCTCGTGGGGGGGCGGGCACGTGACCCCCAACCGAGGTCACGTGACCCCCTGAGGTCACGTGACTCCCCTGAGGTCACGTGACCCCCGAGGTCACGTGACCCCCCGAGGTCACGTGACCCCCGAGGTCACGTGACCCCCGCCGATGTCGCGTAACCCCCGATGACGTCATCGTCACTGATGACGTCACTGGCATCCACATCGTCATAATCACTGATGACGTTATCATCACTGATGACGTCATTAGTGACGTCACTGATGACGTCACCGGCAACCACATCGTCATCGTCATCATCACTGATGACGTCACCGGCATCCGCATCGTCATCGTCATCATCACTGATGACGTTACCGACATCCGCATCGTCATCGTCATCATCACTGATGACGTCATCGTCATCATCAGTAATGTCGTCACCGGCATCCGCATCGTCATCGTCATCATCACTAATGACGTCATCAGTGACGTCACTGATGACGTCACCGACATTCGCATTGTCATCGTCATCATCACTGGTGAAGTCATCAGTGACGTCACTAATGACGTCATCGGTACCCGCATCGTCATCGTCAATGATGACGTCATCAGTGACCTCAGTGATGACATCATCGGCATTGGGGGGTCACGTGACCCCCCCTGGTCAGTTGAACCCCCCCCCCCCCCAGTACCCTTCCATCCCCCTCCTCAAGAGCTGCGCTCTAATTCGGCGTTACAGGGAGTTGTAAACGGCTTTCACTTTTTTTCCAGCTCTCACTTACAAATTGAGAAATTCAGAAGTCGTCCTCTAAGCGTCGTTCTTGAGGTCGTCCTAGACGTCGTCCTGTAGAAGTCGCCCTTGACGCCGTCCTAGACGTCATCCTCTAGTTGTCGTTCTCGACGTCGTCCTTAGGGTCGTCCAAGGGGTTTTCCTAGAAGTCGTCCTAGACATCGTCCTCGACGTCGTCCTTGAGGTCGTTTGAAAGGTCGTTATCAGTGTCGTCCTAGACGCCTTCCTTTACGTCGTCCTAGAGGTCGTCTTAGACGCCATACTCTGTGTCGATCTTTAGGACGTCGTCCTCGAAGTCGTCCAATACATCGTCCTAAATTTTAACATGTGTAGAAACATTATTCGAAAACATTTCTCCCGTGAGACTATAATGCTTTCGCCTTCTTACACGTAAGCAGTCTTCCGGTAATTATTATTACTATTAGTCCCCTGTTTCTTATCTAACTACGTATGTTAAAATTCCTTTGCGTTCCCTTGTATACATTGTGCTTAGTATCCTGTGTCGTATCTATCGCATATTGTCAGCATCAGCACTATCATTTTCATTTGTCTTCTGCCATGTAGGTACATGCCAAAGTTTCTTTGTGCTATGATTTATGCCTGGTGGGTTTTCTGGGTCCCAGGTATTAAGCAGTGTAATATTTAGCTAAATATTGGATTTGTAATTGAAGTAGATACATTCCTCTTTTCTAATGATTACCATAACTTCAAATTGTGTATTTAAAAGCTTATTTATAGGATTATTAGAGCGCAGCTCGGGGGCCCGTTTCCGCGTATAGCCGCGTCGCAGTCGGCGTAACCGCCCCGCTAAATTTAGTGGGAAATTGAATTTGTGTTGAGGTCATGTGACGTCAATTTTACAGCTAAATTTAGCAGGGAAACTGTCGGAGGAGGGGAAGAAAAGGAGGAAGAGAGGAAAAAGAAGGCGAGGAGAAGAGGAAAGAAGGGGAGGAGAAGGATCAGAGGAGGCGGGGAAAAGGACGGTAGGAAAAGAGGAGGAGCAGGAGGGGCGGGAACGAAAGAAGAGGAAAAGAGGAGGAGCGGGAGGGGAGGGAACGAAAGAAGAGGAGGGGCATACCCTCCCCTCCGGACCCTTCCCTCCTCTTCCTCCTCCTCCTCAAGAGCTGCGCTCTCATTTCACATTACAGAGATTTGTAAACGTCTTATCTCTTTTATTTTGTTTTCTTTTTACGTCTGTATTTTCTTAATTATTTTTGGCCATCGAGGCGGCGACAGATCCCCGATCTGGCCCCTTAACCAGAATGTTGGTAGACCCCTGGCTTAGATCGCTACATACAGTTACCGATTGTTTTCGGGCACTTTCAGAGTAAGCCTGGGTCTTGAAAACACATAGTGACCATTTTCCGGTCTTTCATTCCTTGCGCGTGCAATTATCCCATTTATTAGATGAGTACACGGCGAGCGCATCGTGGACGCTTCACCCAGTTTCTCATTTCGCGGCGTTGTACAACCCGGTGATTCGTTCGAGCAGGCCTTTGTTGGTCTCCTCGTAGTAAGGCAGAAGAGAAGAGACGCGATCGTAGTGGGACGACAACTTTGGGAACTTGGTCTTGTTGAAGGCGGGCGTCTGCAACAGCCAGAAGTGACAGCAAGCCGTTACCAAACAGGCCACCCCAGAACATGGGTGGCAGCAAAATATTTTATTTGACCAAAATTAGAGCAACATTAGTGTGAAAGAGAGATAAGAGCGCACTGCTTTTAGCTGTACACTAATAAAGACCTCTACACTGGGAACAGTGCGCCCACAACAGACATTGCTGCGTAATCTCGTGGGTCCTCAGTCTACTGATTTCGCGGCGAAGTGCCAAACTTTCATTGTATAGACTGTTCTATTGAAAGAGGGCAAGGTTTCCTCTATTGCCTTACTTCCGGAATATATTAGAGCTAGCGCATTCAATGACGACGATCTCCCGGTCATGGGGACACCACTGTTCGGTATCTGCACGAATAACAACCCAAAGCGCAGAATATTATCGGAGGACATCTTTATTGCGCACGGGATCCGTCAAGGCAACCCCCGGCTGCAGTGTCTTGAAACTTTATCGCTTTCCAAATGACCACGACCTCCGGCAGCAGTGGGTTGCGTCCGTAAACCGAAAGGACTTTTCCCCAGAGCCATCCTTTCGAGTAGGCTCGGAGGAATTTTTGAATAGAGGTGCACCGAAATTAACGCGTACATTAACATGAGGTACGCTCGCAAGGTGCGTGCAAGTTTTCTCGTGAGAATTGCTGTTTCAGCTCGTAACTTTTCGTAACTTGATATATCTGAATATTCATATTTTTTAGTGGTGACATTGACTCAATTTTATCATCTACAACACTTAGTTGAAGGCTCATTTTCGCCGCCGGGAGTGGCTGGAAATTGTCGAAAAGTTAGATCACTTGGAATTTCCTGAGTCGCGATCTTCAGCGCGATACCGGAGAACCGTGAACTTACGTTGACTGGAACAACGCGACAGGATTCTTCTTATTTTAAAGATTGGTACATAACGTAGCTGAGACAAAAAACACAAAAACTTCAGTTTGTATTGCTAAAGCATGCTCATGCATCGATTTGGAATCGTTGAATCATTGATCGGCTTGCTCCGACGATGGGCCCATCTCGAATTCGCAGTTTTCAGTTTTTGACGAAGGACACATTCGTCGACACGGGGTCCTTAAATAAAACGTTTATAAACATCTGCAAGCAGGAGGAAGCTGCCTTCGATCCTTCCCTGCAATGCTTTTATATCTCGCGTCCTTGTTCACATTATATGAATTGCATTGTTGTAGAAGACATAAAACACCAAAAAATATTCTCGTTATACTGCATCTAAAATGCAAAGGAAATTCAATCGCTGTTAGCTTATAAAATATCTTGAGTACTTGCCTCCGATTTCTTTTGGTGGCGCGTTCAGTGCCGCTCTTCTCGGCATCGCCGCACTGGCGGGTGACAAAATACGGGGTATGAAACGTTCCCAATTAGTTGAAAAACACAATCCGCGGCACACAAGGACACAAGACGCGCCCCAAGTCAGATACCCAGCACTTTGGACCACCCTACTAGCACAACCAACGCGGGAGTGACGTCCCAAAGAGCGTTTTCGCCAACCTTACAAACCACTCAGCATGGCCGCGGAACCTGAAGCTCGCTAGATGGCGCTACAGTATTCAAAATAGGTTGAGGCTAATGGATGGGGAGCAATGGGCACGAAAGGTTTTCAGCTATTTATACATGAGGAGTGTAGACACAAAGTGGAGACAGCGCACTAGGAAATTAAGAGGAAGGTTTTTGGGCTATAGCGAAGATACGGAAGAGCAAGTCTCAGTTAAGAAGAAAGTTAAGGCCACAGAAAGAGATCGGTGGCTAGAGGGAATGCAGACAAAGACTGCTCTGGAAAGCTATAGATTAAACAAAAGAGTTATTGCCAAAGAAAGCATTTATGACAATTCTAGGGGAAGCTCATTGCTGTTTGAGGCAAGAACGGGTGTTCTGCGAACCAGAACATACAGAGTGAAGTACCAGGAAATTGATACAGTGTGCACTGCTTGTGGAGAGGAGGACGAGACGGCTGAGCACTTGATACTCTACTGTAAAGGGCTTCACCCTATGCCTACCGAAGACAACATAGATTTAATAAAGTCATTGGGTTTTAGAGACAGCGAAGGGAGAGTGGATTTCAAGACTGTAGAGATTACCAAGCAAAGATTAAGTGAATGGTGGCAGAAATCGAGAGAAAACTAGGTATTTTCTTAATCACTGATGGCAAGGGGGTTTCATAGCCTCACTTTCTTTGCACTGCGGAGTGAATATAGATTTCACATTTAAATATTCTAAGCTTAAATGGTAAAACAAAATGGCTAGGTGGCGTAAGCTACCGCCCGATCCAAAGGGCTCAGCCGTATTCATCCATCCATCCATGGCGCTACCCACGATAAAACGGTCTACAGACCGTTTTACCGAAAGAGGGCTAGAGAGAAAAGGGGAACGGGCTGCCTGCGCTTTCCCCTTGACTGAGTGGTTGGGAACGAGCGAAAGACCCGCGGATAAACGCCCTGGACGCGTGTGTTTCTCCAAGTTCGGTTCTCTTTTTTGCGGTTGATTTATTTTACTTCCAAGTGTAATTAGAGCTATCGGAATCGGTGACGACAATCCCCTGGTCATGGGGACACCTCTGTTTGGTAATAAGCTGCACAAATAACGACTGAAAGCGCAGAGTAATATCGGAGGACATCTGTATCACGGACGGGATCCGATAAGGCAACTGCGGCTGCAATGTCTTCAAACTCCATCGCCTTACAAATGACCGAACCCTCCAGCCGCAGTGGGTTGCGTCCACAAAGTGAAAATACTTCTCCCCGACGTCATCCTCTCGAGTGTGCTTCGGACATTTCGTGAATAAAGTGCGCACCGAACTTACCGCTGTACCGTCGACGAACATGGGATACACTCGCAAAGTGGGTGCAAGTTTTCTCGTGAGAATCGCTGTTTCAGCTTGTAACTTTTCGTAACTTAATTTGTCCTAATGCTGATATCTTTCGGCGGTGAAATTAACTCGATTTTATTATCTACAACGCTTAGTTGGAGGCTCATTTCCGCCGCCGGGTGTGACTGGAAATTGTCGAAAAGAAATTAGTTTTTTTCGGTTTTTTTCTTAATTGAGATGTTCTGCGTGATGCCAGAGAGCCCCGATCTTATGTTGACCATGTAATGGCATGAACCGGGCACATAGCTGTCTTAGTCACGACTGCAGTGGTAGGTTTTACTTTGCTTTGCTGATAACATACGTATTGCGGGGTTGGCAACCGAAAACATTAAGTCCGCTAAGCATAGTGAAAACAGTGAAACGTGTCACTACATTACACCCCTCCCCTCTTAGTAAGATGCACAGTCTCGTTCGTTAATAAACGTAAGGTCCCAATCGGAACACAGTTCGATGCCGTCTTGACGGCTTTCGAGGAGGAGGACTTGTCGGCAGGTCATGAACCTCTGCATCTTGTGAAGGCATTTGCTCCGTTTTGGCTCTCGACGACAGGAAACCCTTTGCAGTTGAACACCATAGTCTCAGCTAGTTGCGTTGATGCTCACGTCCAGCCAAACCTTGCACAGCTGGTCATGGTGGCGTCGATGACTCTGAACGTTCTCCTGCTGCACTTTGTACGAAACTGGACCCAGTATGGCAATTACCTCTGTTGCTTTCCATCGCGGACCAAGGGTGAAACTTCTCACGTAGACCGCATCGCTTTAGTTGAAACTTCACCTTTGGGACTGGACTCTCCGGCTCTCTAATTCGATCCGGATGAAGCCAGTTGAGTGGAGAACGCAACTTCCGTCCCATAATGACACGACCTGGCGTCTTGTCGGTCATTGAGTGAGGAGTGGTATGCTGCTTGAACAGAAATTGCGAGATTCTGTACTGAGTATCTACTCGCGATTGCATCTTGAGTGTCGACCTTCACGTCCCTCACCATCCACTCTGCCCTGCTATTGCTTACAGGGTGGTACGCAGCTGTGTACACAAACCGGACAGCACAGCCTGAGGAAGTCTTGCATCTCTTGGCTGGTGAATGCAGTTCCGTTATCAGACATAATGTCGTCCGACAAACCATGTGTTTAAAACACTTGGGCAGGCTCCTGATTACGGTAGTCGAAGTCATCGATGGCATAATCTCCACTCCCACCCAGTTAGAATATGCATCGACGATTACCAGAAAAACTTCGCCTTTGACTGGACCTGCAAAGTCGACCTGCAGCCTGCTCCAGGGCTGCTCTGGTTTAATACAGAAGTGTACAGGTGCCTTGAGGTTTCTCTGGCGGTCGGTTCGGCACTTGTCGCTGTAGCGCACGAACTCCTCTATCTCTTGATCGAGTTTCGGCCACCAGATTAGGCTACGAGCCATGGCCTTCATCACTATCATCCCAGAATTATTTGTGTGCAAGGGCTGTAGGACCTGGCTCATTCCCGTCTTTGGAATTACCACACGGTTACCCCATAACAAGCAGTCTCGATGCACTGACAGTTCAGTTTATCTCACTTCGAATGGTGCAACGTCTCCGCCCGAACTGTCATCAGTCCATCCGCTGAGCACCCACTGCTTCATCATTGGCATCACGGTGTCCCTTCCGGTCAAGCCTGCAATGTCAGTAGTCAAAAGTGGGGGGTAGTGCCACTAAATAAGCTACGCTTCAGAGTAACGACACTTGGCCATATTGTGTCTTAAAATCATGGTTGGCAGTTATCTGAAGCTTTATCTGAAATTACAGGAAACGCTCTTTCACCCTCCACAAATGTTTAAACAGTTCGCGACAGAGCAAAGCAATATTACATTACCTTCCTAATATCGAATGTAATGCTGAGGAAGTCGCACTTTTGAATCAAGACGATCGGCAGTTGCGTCTGTTCTGCATACGAGCCAAAATGGCGGTGCCCACAACAATGTCGGGGAACGGAGTGCCGATACTCTAAGCGCAGCTCATTTAGTTGCTCTAGTGGGGGGTACTGGACGGCTTCAAGCAACAGGATATCACCAGGTGGTGCTGGTTAATTTACATCTCCAGGCATTGGCAGCCGGCTCAAACCATCCGCG